AATGGGCCAAATTAATGCTCTTGGGATGGAAGGCTCAATCGAAGCTTGCAACGCTGGAGAAGTCACCCCCCCAAATGAAAAAGGCGTGCAAGGGCAGGATGTGTGATCAAAAGAGGGCAAAAGAGAGGCTTTTTTCCTCCTGAATCAAAGGACATCATCAAGAGGGTTTTTGCCTTGTGAATTGAAGCTAGTTGAAGATGAGTATTGCCCGGTCGAAGCTTGTAACAAGTTGTTTTAAAAGGTGATTTTGGCCTTGTGCATGCTAGCATGGTAAGGAATTCTGCCTTGTAAATCTTGGCTAACACGCAGGAAAGAGGCTATATGGCCAAGTGAAATATTTGTACTAAGAGAATACAACATTCAAACGAAATCCAATATCCCAATGAAACAAGAAATGAACTTGCCCAAAAGGAGTCCAGCGCCCAATCGAAGGATGCGAGCCAAACTTGTGTCGAAAGAGGCCAAAAGGCCAATCGAAGGATGCAAGCCAAGCTTGTGTCGAAAGAGGTCAAAAGGCCAATCGAAGGATGCTGATCGAAAGAGGCCTAAAGGCTAATCGAAAGAGCTGAAACAAAGAACACTTGTATTTCTCCAATTTTGTCAAAATAATATTTTTATCTGTTTTCTCCCTTTTTGACAGTTTCCTCTTAATTTTGGTTTTGGAAAATCCCAATGCACTTGTTCAAGCTTGAACTTTGAGAATCCTTGTGAGAAAGGCCTTGAAGAATGAGAGGGCAAATTTTGGGGTACAACACTTGCAACCTTGCAGGCATGTGTCTTGTTCTCTGAGGTCTGCTTGTACCTGATTGATATCTAACTTCCACTTGTCGAACTTCTCTTTCGACTTGAGTTTCTGGTTCTTCAAGTAAGATTCTCACATAATCTTTATTGACATTTTCAATCCAATCCCATTCTTTAAGCTCATCCATGATCACGCCCCTGCTGATCACAATACGCTTGTTCACTGGGTTGAACAACTTCTAACCTCATGTCGAATGATATCTAACTAGGATCATTTGAATCGACATGTCATCAAGTGTTCTTCTCAATTGATCTGGCACATGTCTATGTGCTATAGATTCAAACAATTTCAGATAACTTAAGCTAGGTTTAACACCAGACCAACATTCTTCTGGAGTAATTCCTTCTAGCTTCTTCGTTGGACATCTGTTCAGAATGTATGTTGTAGTATACACAACTTCTCCCCATAACTCTTTGGATAAATGATTGCCATTCAACACACTTCTCACCATTTTCATGATGGTTCAATTCTTCCTTTCTGCAGTTCCATTTTTCCGTGGAGTGTCGGGTGGTACCACCTCATGCATAATCCCCTCTTTCTTACATAACATGTCGAATTATTTCGTCACATATTCTCCACCACCATCAATTCTTACAACTTTGAGCTTTAAACCACTTTACCTTTCAACCACAAATTTAAACTTGGAAAATACCTCGATCACTTCACTCTTCTTCTTGATCAGGTAAGTCCACAATTTTCAACTGAAATCATATATAAACATGACAAAGTATTTGTTATATCCCATCGAATCCACATGCATTGGTCCACATACATCAAAGTATAAGACTTCAAGGATTGCCTTCGACTTTCTTCCTACATCCTTACTAAAGTTGTTCTTGTTCTTCTTCGCCTGCACACATTCCTCACACACCTCGTTGGGAATGTCGATTTCTGGTAACTCTAAAACTATATTTCTTCTCTTCAAATATCTGATGTCTCTCAAGTTGAGATGGCCAAGTCGATAATGCCATGTCCACTCATCTCTACTAGCTGCAGTTGCTAGGCATTTGTGCTCCATCACATTTAGTTCAATCTTGAAGGTTCTATTATGAGACATTTGAGCCTTCAAGATTAACCTTCCTCCAGCGTCAATGAATCTCATCATATTGTCTTCGACTGACACTTTATAATTCTTTTCGACCAACTGTCCTATGATGAGCAAGTTGCTCTTCATGCCTGGTATGTACAACACGTTGGAAATTATTGACCTTTTTCCATCTTTCCTCATAATCAGAGCATCTCCAATATCTTCAGCTGCTAGAGTATTCTCATTTTGAAAAATTTTCCATGTTTTTCATTGAGGGTTTTAGGTTGAAACACCAATCTTTCCTTCCAGACACGTGTGATGAGCACCCTGAATCCAAGTACCATTAGTCCTTGAATTTCTCTTCATCTCTTGTTGTGACCATCAACATCATCTCTTCTTCTCCATACTTTGCGAACTTTACATCACTTTCTTGATTCTTTCGCTTTTCTGGACAATCACTAGTATAGTGACCATAATTCTGACAATTGTAACACTGAATGTGACTCTTGTCAGGTTTTCAACCACCACCTCTTCCTCCACCTTCAACACCGCCTCTTTGGTTGCCTTGATATGGGGGTTTTCTTTGATTCGACACAATTCCTTCCTACTGGTTTCCTCTACCAGTCGAACTGTTGTAGCCACCTCTACCTTGGTTGAACCAATTTCCTTTGCCTTTACTTTCTTTTACTGAATGTGCCTGCAAAGCCACATCACTCTTCGACTTACCTGCATCTCCCTCAGCAATTCTTTGTTCACGAGCTTCAAATGTCCCTTGAAGTTCTTCCTTTGTTAATTTCAAAAAATCTTCCCCCTTTTCTATAGCCACCATCACATGGTCGAACTTAGGGGACAAAGATATCAAGATCTTTGCAACAACTGCTTTGGTTGTTAACGTTTCTCCATATACCTTAATTTGATTCACTAGTTTCGTAATCATAGTGAAGAAATTAGACATGCTCTCGCTATCTTCCATATGGAACAATTCATACGTTCTTTTGTGAGTTTGTAACCTACCTCTTTCACTTTTTCTGCACCTCCAAAATACTTTTCCTAAATTTCCCAAGCTTCTTTTGCAGATCCTACATCACTAACCTTTTCGAAATCACCTGTACTGAGACATTGAGGAATTATAAAGAGAGCTTTTATAATTCTTCTTCTTCAATTCTATGTGTGCAACCTCTTGCGTTTTCTTTAAGCGGTTCTAAACCTTCTTTCACAAGATCTCAAAGATCTTAACAATAGAACACAACCTTCATCTACTTGCACCAATTCTCATAGTTATCAACTTTCAAAATTGGAAGACTTATTGGAAAATGCCCATTCGGATGATTCATTGCCATCATAACTTTCTTCTTCTTTCCTTGATCGCTCAACCGGAGCTCCTAATAACAGATGTTGGAAATCCACCACAACCTATGAAGAATTTTTATCAATCTTGATGAACAAGATTGTTATCACTACATAATAACGATGAAAAGAAGAAAAAAAATTAAAGCAGAAAAAAGATTAGGGTTTCTGCAGAGTTTCTCTCTGTCCATAAACTGTGGAAAATCTTTATTCACTTGCAACTGCAAATTCTGTGAATACAAGTTGTGTTATGAGTGATTATAAAAAATAGGAGTTACTCCCTCTATTTATAATTTTAGGTTAGTTTTCTCCCTAAGTCAAAGTCTAAAATATAAAAGCCAAAAATACCTATTTCAAACCTAAAATTTATGTGTAGCAACCTGCTTAGAACACTTCGACAACTACATACAACTCGATAAACCAAGTTTTTTGATACACCTTGTGTCAAGTAACATCCCGCTTCAATGCAAGGAATTACACTTTCAATACCCACCAGGGAAGATCCTCTGAGCCAGATCCTCTAACTTTTTTTGCGGGAACTGCACCTGACTTTCCCTCTATCTCTCTAATAATACAATCTATCTCATCTGGTTTCCCTTTATTGAACGTTAATGTAAAGCAATGAAAAACTGTATTATGCCAAATCCGACTGCTCAACCTTTCACAAATAACTGCAATAAAGGAATGGCTGAAGAAGTGAGTAAAGTTAGCAGTCATAATGTCATGCAATTCGATCGCGAGAGATTCTATTTCATGGTGGCAGAAAGAATTAACCAGAATGATGGTCGATCATTAGGTACTTTCAGCGTTGATCTCAGGAAGAAGTTGTGCGATTGTGAAAAATTTCAAACATTTTATTTTCCTTGCTCCCATGCTATTGCAGTATGTGCTAGTATATGTCTAGACTACACCATTCACATAGTAGACATGTTCAAGATTCTTAATGTTTTTAAAATCTATCAGAAAAGCTTCCTTGGACTTCCACACTAGAAAAACTGGCCATAATATAGAGGATTTACTCTTTGCCATGACGAGACTATGCGAAAGAAGAAGAAGAGACACCTAAATAGTTAATAAACACAAAGTTAAAAAATCTGTTTCCGAAGATCCTCCTCTTTTCAATTTCTCTTGTATCAAATTAAATTATTAGACAATCACCTTAATTTCTCTTCATTTTCTCATATTTTCACCGGTACTCCTCCCTCTTTTCTTTATCAATCAAATAAAATATTAAAAAAAATAAAAACTAAAAGTTTTCAATTTATCTTTTTCAAGAATTAAAATTTGTTTTAATTTTTCTCAGATATTAAAAAAATAAAATAATTTTGTAAGAACTAAATTGCTTATTCACTTTTATTATTATCATTTTATATTTGTGGTCAAGCTAAAACTCATATTACATTACATCTGGTGTGTTTCCCGGGTCATGCAATAAATTTTAGTCGTTAACATTGGCTCCTATAACTCACACCGCGTTTTCATCTGAAACTTCACAGAAATAGTGACACAAAGTTCCTATGTCTTCACTTTGAAATTTGAATGCCTAAAAGGGTAACTTGTTTCTTCTGTCTCCTTGCTCTATTTTTTGTTTTCTACCTCTCAGCTTTCTTCAAATTCTAACTGTTCCTTAAAAGAATCTATCTACAAACACATTCAAGGACCAATTCAACGTTCCTGCCACTTATTTCACGGAAATTTTCCATTTTAGACCTATAAATTTTCTCAAGCCTCTATTCTCTCCATTAACTCCGTTAGTAATCATAACATCAATAATTGCTTCCACTAAAAAAACATCAATAATAACTTTTTGTGTTGATTTTCATAATGATGAGGTTTAGAGCTATCACTAGCAAGCTTTATTCTTCACGCCTTTTACCAACTTCTAAACCCTTCCTCACACCTTCTTCTTCTCCTTCTGTTGTACCTCCACTTCTAGCCAGAATTTCTCATGGCTCTATCATCCCTAAATTTCAAGGTAATGTTCTTTTCCCAAGGGTATATATGTCATCTTCTTCTGCAGCTTTATTGGATGAGGAAGTGAGAGGTAGCAGAAATATTGGATTACTCAAAGGAATTGAGGATCAACATGGAGGAGTTATTATAAACATGGAGGACTCTATGAATTCTTATGTTTTTGCTTCTATGCTAGAAGCTTCAATATCTCAATGGAGGAAACAGGTATATTTCTAATAAAGTTATGATTAATACAAAACTTTGGAGTCACATTCTAATTGATAAAAAATTGTGCTCTTGTAGGGAAAGAAGGGAGTGTGGATCAAATTGGCTAGAGAACATTCAAATCTTGTGGCTCCTGCTGTTGAGGTAAAGACTTTCAAGTCATTTTATAATCATTAAAATAATTTTTCTTCAACTTGTTAGATTTATAAATATTACTTACTTTTTTTTTTTTTACATTATTACGCTTAAATATAAATAAATATTATCGGCAGAAATTAAACTTTCGTTGCTCCTTTTATAGGCTGGATTTGAGTATCATCATGCTGAACCAGATCATTTGATGCTTGTATATTGGATTCCTAATACTCCTAATACCATTCCCGCAAATGCTTCTCACCGCATTTCCATTGGTGCTTTTGTAATCAATACCAAAATGGAGGTAATATTTACATTGAAGGTGTTTTCAGATATACAGATACACATGTTAATGTATTAGTGTCGTGTCTGATATATACGTGCGAGTATTTCTAAGGCATAAGTAATTATCTGTAGTAGATTCTACTATCACATGACTATTAACACTGATTCAAATTTTTTATTTGACTATACCATATTTTTAAGATGACTTGTAAGTTGTAATTTTCATGAACCTGGAGATGGAGTCAATCTATGACTTGATGTTGTGATCAGGATATTACTTTTTAACTATAATAAAGTTTGAAGTGACTTTTAACTAAATTTGTTGACAGATAATATTTGGAGGACTATTTTTTGAATTTCTTTAAAAACAATTAAAAATATAATAATATAATTTTGTATATATAGTACTAAATTGTTTTGTTTATATTTGATAGGTCCTAGTGGTTCAGGAAAAAAACGGAAGATTCAGTGGTAAAGGAATATGGAAATTGCCTACTGGAGCTGTTAATGAGGTATGTTATAAATTATTTTATTGATTTTTAAACCTTTATAAAAAAATTAAGTTTTAGATTTAATTTGCAGGGTGAAGATGTTTGTGCTGCTGCAATTAGAGAGGTCAAAGAAGAAACAGGAGTAAGCAAAAACATATTTAAATTAAATATAGTTCAACCATATTAAATATTCCTTCAAAACTTTTTCCTAATTAAAACCATTTTTTTATTTTATTTTCAGATAGAGACTGAATTTGTTGAAATTTTAGCATTCAGGTAATTGAGTTGGGCAATTTTTTATTTTTATATCATATAATATAATCTTAAAACATTACCATGGATGCATAGTCTTATATTATAACTGTTTTATTTATTTTTTGTTATATTAGGGAAAGACATAGATGTTTCTTCCAAAAATCAGAGATACTCTTTATATGCATGTTACAACCTCGATCCTTTAACATTGAGAGTCAAGTTTCAGAAATTGAAGCAGCTCAGGTATGTATTATAATAGCCAAAACCAAATTACCATTCAATTACTTCATTTTTTACATGCAAAAAGAAACCAATTAATTTAATGTGGATTTTCTTTAATTTCAGTGGATGGCAATTGATGATTATGTAGCTCAACCTTTTGTTCAAGAAAATGAGCTATTTAATTTTCTAACAAAAGTAGGATTATCAAAATTGGATGGAAAGTACTGTGGCTTTTCTACCATGCTTACTAGCACTTCCTGTAACAAAAAATCTCATGTCTACATCAACACAAAAGATTCTGCTCATTTGTAATAACTTCCAAACTTCACCAACCTTAATTATTAGTCACACCTATTTAATTATTAAGGGTGTATAGAAATTTCAAACAAATTTCCACATGTGTCTGAAATCAGGTCATTATGTGTTTGTTGTCAATTTTTTATTTGTTCATTTCATTCAAATCTTTGATTATTGTAATAATTTCATTCAAATCTTTGATTATTTGTCCAATTTCTTTATTTATGTAAATTCCTTACATTTTCACCATACATAACTTGATTGGTGGGTGGAGAATTATATAATACACAAATGTTACCTTGTTGAATATTGATCTATTTTTAAATTGAATGTATCAAAAAGTATATTTATTTATTAGATGTTGGATGAAATGACCCATTGTTATAACTCTCCAAATATTTTCAAAATTGAATTGTTAATTTTTAATGGATATTCTTAATTTTAATCCTCCAATTTTTATTATTTACAAATTAATTTTTTATTTTAAAATTATTTAATTTTGACTAAAGTATAGTGACTTGACAAATTTCAAGTGACTAGTATTGTTGACGGTAAATATCATAAATTTTTGACAAATAAATTTGATGATCAATTTAATCATGATTCAAATTAGGTCTTATAATTCTAAGTTGACAAGTTTGTAGTTTCAAATAAAAAAAATGCAAGACAAGAAACACATCATGAATATAAGAAGAACCAAAAAAATAGATTTTTAATTGCATAAAATATACCTAAGTAAATCAGAAAAATGTAAGAGATGATACATTATTATATAATATGAGTTACATATATTGTTCGATCACCTTTTAAGATTGAGAAGTATTTGGGAGGTGTTCCGTTCTGAAATTAAAATTGAATGTAATCGGTTGATGTAGAATTTTGAACATGTGGTGTTGATATCTGATACAATGGCGTGGGGTGGGTCTGTAAGATTAGCACTTCGACGCCTAAGTCACTCTAAGATTTAAAATGAGTGTATTTAAAAGTAGAGATAAGAAAATATATCTTGCATTTTGATCTGACCTGATCAGAAGGTTTGGACCGTCACGGCTTACTCCGAGCTGAAGGCTTTTTGAACGAGGAGGGGGGGGGGGGGTACCTGCAAGGCACTCCGATGCTAAAGTCAGTGGGAGTACTAGCAGATAATAGAGTTGAGGTTAGAATGATGAATACCTGACCCTCTGGAAGCAGAGGGTATTTATAGCCCCCAGCGCTGGGCCAAGGTTCCTTCATTGGGCCGGGCGGATTTGGCCCAATGGAGGAACTGCCAGGTTCTACGTGGGTAGTGGGGACCAGCACGTGGTCCCCTTCCTGGATATGCTGCATGAAGTGCGGGCGGACGGAGACGCGGTCTTTCTGGAGTATCGTTGGGGCAATGGAGGACTAAGTCTGCCCTAGCAAGTCAGCTCGAGACCATGTCGAGCTACGCGACACGGTGCCGAGCTCGACGCCAAGACCTCGAGCTGGACAGCGAGGGTCGAGCTGGAAGCCAGGACGTAGAGCTGGACGGCAGGCTGTCGAGCATGACTTCATCGTGGGGCTGGACACCGAGATGTCGAGGTGGACATCAGGGTGTCGAGCATGGACGTGACCCCCTTTGCCCAGTGTGGGTCCTTAGTGAGTCCCTTTGGACTGGGCCTTAGTAATGCTTTTGGGCCTGTCGGGCCCAGTCCAGAACAGGAGCCCCCCAAGTCGTGGTTCCTTTGCGAGGAGCCATGACTTGAAACAGTTGTTCCGTCGCTGAGGTCTCGTGCCCGGGATGGAGGCGTGGACCCTCGAGGGGTCTCCTCGTGCCGTGCTCGGAGATGTCCTCGGTGGTGGATGCGCGGAGGATCCGTGCCGGGCGCGTCAGTCGAGTACACGAGGCATCTTTCGGGAGTTGTGCCGCCACCCTAGGGGGGTAGGGCCATCATTGCGTTGGGAGCAGTGCGTCGAGGAGATGGAGTCCGTGGCTGAACGAGGTGACGTTTGGTATTCCACGTCCTCACTATAAATAGGGTCCTTGGGCCCCATAATTCGTTTTCCGTTCTCCGTGCTCTCTCCGTTGCCGCTCTCAACACTCTCTCCAATCGTGACTTCCCGTCTCAGATTCTTCATTTCTTAGCCAAATCCCAACTTTGATCCAAGTAAGTGATCTATTTTCTTCATTTTTCTGTTTTAGAATGCATGATTCTTGGAAATTGTAGATGTTTTAGGACCGTTAATGTTGGATTAGCCCGGGTAAACTTGCGTTTTGCCCGACAGATTCATGTCTAGGGCCGGCGAACGCATACTTGTGGCCGACACATTCATAGTTTTAGGTGAAAAACTTTAGAGCTGCCCGGGGTCTTCATGATCCTGGGCGCCTGATTCATGACGGTGCCCGGTATGTTTATGGTCGTGGCCGTGGGCTTCATAGTGCGGCTCGCCATGTTCATACCTCGGGTCGACATGTTTGAAGAACGGCCGCGCAGTTGGTTTGAGGAAGAACACTGGGTTCAGGAGAGTCGGGGAGGCATCTACTTGTGAAAATGGACTTGTGTAGTAGTGTATGGATGACATGATTATGTCGAGCATAGGACTTCATGCTCAATCTGATTGGTTTCCCGTGCTCTGCAGGTAACCATGGCGGATGAGCCGAGCTCCTCCGGTCGTGCGTGATAGCGAAGAACAGAGTGCCGACGAGTCGGCCAACCTTATAGACACCGTGACCGACCCATCGCTGGAATGGGTGGGCGCCGAGCCTCGGGGGACGGCGTCGATATACAGTCGGGATGACCGACATCCATTCACCGCTATCGAAGAGGGGCAGGACCAGCCCGACTTCCAACAGAATTTCGTGGTCATGCTGCCATCGACCAACGCCAGAATTTGTTCAATGTACCGGACTACAGCTTTGCGATGTACGAGATCGCGTTTAAAGACTTGGGGCTGCGGCTGCCGTTCACAGACTTTGAGACCGGGGGTCTTTACGCATTTGGAGCTGGCCCCGTCCCAGCTACACCCAAACTCTCTCGCCTTCATCCGGGCGTTTGAGCTGACGTGTCGTTTACTTAAGGATATGGGCGACGATCCCTCTCTTCTTCGGGTATTCCACCTACAGCGTCAGTCCCGAGGAGGGAAGCACAGCTGGGTGTCCCTGAAGCAGTCGAGGAGACTGTTCAGGATGTACATGGATTCTGTGAGGGGGTTCAAGGATAAGTGGTATGTGGTACGCCCTACTACCGACTCTGCTGTAGATTCCCTCTTCGAGGAGGAAGGGCCGGTCAGCGATGATGACGGAGAAGCAATGTTGGCCGACGACGGGAGCCCCGTGTTAGGGCGTCGGGCTAAGTTCCCGGTGTACTGGATGTCCCGACACTTCGGGCATGGAACAGGTTATTTCCATACCGCAGTCGGGGACATGTGCACGGAGGATAAGCGGGCGTATGAGGCTCTCTGCAACTTTGTCGATAGTTTTCATCCCGCCCAATGGGTTTACGCGGGAAGGGAATGATATCCTCGACAAGGACGGTTACCCGACATTCGAG